CAGCGCCTACCCATGTCCCATTCAGGCAACAAATGCTCGCCAACTCTGCGTGTCATTAACGTAAATATGTAAATAAGATTTATATTTCCTCTCGAATCTGAAAGGAAGCCACTGTCGCTGGAGTGAGGCCTGGTAATCTGATTACTATAGATACCACTTATGATTTACCATCTAGTTAAGGAGCGAGGATGGGTTCCTCATCAGTATGGAAAGAGAATTTGGTGTTTCTACTTACAATGAATTAACGGCCGATTCAATACACGTATATGGAATACTGTACCGTGCTTAGTGTGTTAATTGTTATACAGCCACGGATTGCTGTCGTGTTCAAAGTAGAATGTCTGGCACTTAATAATGACCTTATTGTCTGTTTGGACAAGTGCTCTTTCATGTAAGGTAATCTCCAAGGAAACTGTTTGTCTTCCGTGACACATGGTCGTGGTCGCTGAACATATGGTCTATTGCGATGAGGGCTGATCTCTGTGGACAACAATTATCTTTTTTTATGCGTGGTCCCTGTGCATTGGTCTCTCACGACGAAAGAAGTTCTCCAAGACAACTCATTGTCCTTCATGACAGGGGTCGCTCACAGTACGAATGGTATGACGAGGACAGGGGTCGCTCACAGTACGAATGGTACGGCGAGGACAGGGTTCGCTCACAGTACGAATGGTACGGTGAGGACAGGGGGCACTCACAGTACGAATGGTACGGCGAGGACAGGTGTCACTCACAGTACGAATGGTACGGCGAGGACAGGTGTCACTCACAGTACGAATGGTACGGCGAGGACAGGGGTCCCTCACAGTACGAATGGTACGGCGAGGACAGGGGTCTCTCACAGTACGAATGGTACGGCGAGGACAGGGGTCGCTAACAGTACGAATGGTACGGTGAGGACAGGGGTCGCTCACAGTACAAATGGTAGGGCGAGGACAGGGGTCGCTCACAGTACGAATGGTACGGGGAGGACAGGGGTCACTCACAGTACGAATGGTACGGCGAGGACAGGGGTCCCTCACAGTACGAATGGTACGGCGAGGACAGGGGTCTCTCACAGTACGAATGGTACGGCGAGGACAGGGGTCCCTCACAGTACGAATGGTACGGCGAGGACAGGGGTCTCTCACAGTACGAATGGTACGGCGAGGACAGGGGTCGCTCACAGTACGAATGGTACAGTGAGATTCTTTTAAAGTTCATCAAAGGATCAAATTGGTCTTGCTGTCTCAACCACAAGGTGGTGCACACTGAGCCTATAATTTTGCTATGGCATATTCCAGGGGCTGCGCTCACTTTCGCTCTCTGCACCCCTGGAGTAGTGAGGATGCCTAAACAGTGGATAGTAGTTTATACCTGACTGAGTGCCAATACTTTTGTTATAATATAAACATGCTGTCAGTTGCCTGACGCCAGGACCGCATCTGGGATGCTTTATATCAAATATTTGTAGTCCTAATTTGATATTAAAAAGAAGTTTTAAATATACATAGACAAATTTCAATTCCCAAAATTCCCTTCGCTCGGCATATGGTAGCTATAAAATAATAACTTGCCATATTTTAAAATTCCTAATTGTATTTGAAGCCAGTGTTAAGTATCGGGTTCTGTCCCCGGGGATCCCTGGGTCGGGGTAGATAGCCATGTGGCTTTTACCCTAATGTAATGGTACCGTACAACCTGCTTCACTAACCCATCACAGACAGGGAAATGTTTTGAGTTTTTTGTTGGGTTTGGAAAACAATAACGTCTTAACTCATTCACCCCTGAAATTTCATAATGAACTATTCCAACCTTGGAATTGGAGGAGTTCAAATGTGTCTTTCGGGATGAATGAGTTAAGGTTGGTTTTGACTGAGTTACCTTTTTGAATGAGGGTACGTAACTTACTGTTGGAGTTAAAGGGGTAGTGACTAACAATCAGACAATATCGCTAAGCATCCCTGAAATTTCATAATGAACTATTCCAACCTTGGAATTGGAGGAGTTCAAATGTGTCTTTAGGGATGAATGAGTTAAGGTTGTTTTTGACTGAGTTACCTTTTTGAATGAGGATACGTAACTTACTGCTGGAGTTAAAGGGGTAGTGACTAACAATCAGAGAGTCATCAACGACAACATTGCTAAGCATGTATTGCCCCTTGGTGTGTCTGCCTGTGTGATATCACTAATCCAATTGGCAGTCGTTTAACCATTTTAACACACCATGTGTATAGTGAGTTGTCTTCATTACTTGGAATACCATCACCAATTATTTGCACTATTTTACTTGTCAGGGATGTTTTGGAAAGCTTGCAGTATTAGCTGTATTACTGTGTACAAACTGATGAATCTTATTTCCAAATTTAAGGTTTCTTACCTAATGACTTCATTGTATAACCTCAATCTTTTATCAATAAATTAAACTGTCTTTAAATGCTGCTGATAAGATGTAGAATGGAAAGGAACAAACAATAGATTTGACTGAATTAGGTTGATTACATGACTTTAAATCGAAGCATCATGTTTCTTTCGTTCTCCAGTTTCCTGGTCATCATTTATCCGTTCTAAATATGTTATGTTTCCTTTTCATACCTGAATGGTCAAAATGCCATGAAACATGCTTCTACAATCTTTACTGTTGTCTTGATCATTCTTCTGTTTCAGTTTAAAAAACTATATATTGCCCGGGTTGGTTGAAGGAGACATTCATTTTTTGCCTTTGTGGACAAATTGTGGTAGGGAAACATAATTGTTTGTTTCCCTTTGATAAATGATTGTTCTAGATAGGCCTTGTATGAGGAAAATATGATGGGAAAACATGACAATTATATATGATACATGACAATTATATCCCCATGATGTGATCAAATCTATCCCTTGAGGTATGCTGTTACACTAATGAGGTACAAAACTATTTATTAACTTTAACCTTTTGATCCCTTGTGGGCTTTGCACTTAGGCAATCTGACATGCATCGGATGTTCATGTCTCCCTCAAATGAGGAAAAAAATGCATGAATTATATGATACATGACAATTATATCCCCATGATGTGATCAAATCTATCCCTTGAGGTATGCTGTTACACTAATGAGGTACAAAACTATTTGTTAACTTTAACCTTTTGATCCCTTGTGGGCTTTGCACTTAGGCAATCTGACATGCATCGGATGTTCATGTCTCCCTCAAATGAGGAAAATAAATGCATGATTTTCTACTTGTGACTTAAATGTATTTAAAGGTCCTACCATTGGACTGCAGGGGTGTAAAAAAAAAAAAAGTAGCACTGGCCTGGACAAGTAGACCTTAGAAATCCACTTCCCCGAAAATATTTTCTGCTTGTCCCAATTAAATTGCATATTATACATACACATTCACAGACAAAAAACGGATTTTTCAAAATAGTAGGATATTCATGAAATATTGTAGTCTTTTTTCTCTCCCTATTTACAATTATTATACTATAAATTATGTACTATTAAAGAGCGTTGATGGTTGTATTTATCTTCTTCTTTTTATTTAAGATTTTGAATTACTTTTGAATATTCTTTAACTCCTGAAATCCGGGTCCGGATTTGTTAAGTTATTAGTCACGCTAATTAATGCAACTTCCTGTTTGAAAACAGAGACGTTTTTCAGGCCAAACGATGTTCCTCTGTAGGTAACTAGTACATATAATAAGTAGATCCTTTATCTATTCCTATTTTATGTTTTAGCTGGAGTTTCAGTTATTTTCATTGGCCTTAAAGTCATTGTTTGTTTCATACTTGTTTGAATGCTTTCCACTAAAATACAGACAGTTCAGTTAATTATTTATTTGGAGGAACGGAGAAACACATGCAAAAACATGTTTTATATACTTACTATATCGCACTTGCCCAGGGCAAGTGGGCCAAGTTTTTTGCACTTGTCTGGGCACTAAAACTGGGCATCCTGGGCGTCGGACAAGTCAAATTTTACACCCCTGGACTGTTGTGTAAGGTTACCACCCTGTGACTGTTGTATAAGGTCCTAACCTGTGACTGTATTTCTATAGATTGACCTGTTTTAGAGATTGCATGTGGCCAGACTATTTTCCAGACTTTTATCTGATTAGTGATGATATGGCTCCTAAAACAGATTCTTACGCTTCAAACAATTTGTTGAATATATATTTGACCAATTTGTTGGTCTGCATGGATGTTATCTGTTAACGTCTGGGGACCCATTCTAGTGGCCACATGGTAACCTCCACACTGTACCTACTACAGGTAAAAGCTATCTGATCATGATGCCATCATTTTGTAGTGAAAAGAGTTTTGTAAAAGTCATCAAATTTTTATGAAAAAAATGTATAAATGGATGTGGGTCTGAGGACTTGATGAAACGATTACAGGGAAATTGTCTCCCTTGTTTATAATCTTATCAAGTTAACTTATCTAGATGATCTCCCACGAGTTCCGATTGCCTTAGCAACTCCCTTAACCTCTGTTTGAATATAACTGTAGCACAGTTTGGCCAGGACACTTCAGAAAACAAATCAGTTCCCACAGCAAAATATAGTTCCTCTCAAAATTGACATTCCGTTCCCAAATACTACATCCTGTTTTCAGCTGCTGAGTTTTTGTTTTAGCAGTTCTTCAAATGCAATGATTTAATTTAATTTGAGCAAACTGCAAAATATAGGATTTCTTCTGAATTCAAAAAAATGAAATGATGGTGAAAATAGACGAATGCGGCAATAATATTTATTGCCAATTACATACAATTAAATCTAATGTTAGGGTACAAGCAAATCGAATACATACTAGCTGTGCTACAGATATGATGGTATATATTCCAACAGTAAAAATTCCAATCATTATTATGTGCTGATTTTACTGGAAATTTATCTTGTGTTCGACACATTTCTGCCCATTTAACTTAAAACGAAACTTTGATTGACAACATAATCAATCATCAGATTTTTTACGAAATGAAAAATTGTTCAAACCTACAGGGGGGAAGATTATGTTTTTTAAAGAATCTGTTATGTTACAGCACCAAGCTATGAAGCGCCACAACGAGGCTTGGCGAGACAGTCTACGCTACAGACGACCTGACCTTGACCGCATGCCAGGTATCCGTCGCATCACCATCAACAACAACCCTATGTTAGGGGACCAGGGCACCAGTCTACTGGCCGAGGCTCTCAAGGATGACCTCTGGCTCAAGGGTAGGTTATTCAAATTCTGGGACATTAAGGGTAAATAATCTCTCAAGGATGACCTCTGGTTCAAGCGTAGGTAACTCAATCTCTTGGACAATAAAGGTAAATAATCTCTCAAGGATGACCTCTGGCTCAAGGGTAGGTTATTCAAATTCTGGGACATTAAGGGTAAATAATCTCTCAAGGATAACCTCTGGTTCAAGGGTAGGTAACTCAAACTCCAGGACAATATCTGTTCATTGGCTTAAACAGTGCTTTCCAGATTATGAAGATGTATATGAAACACTTGCTGATTGACTGATTTTGTTTTGTGATTTATTATTTATATTATTTTAAAACTTTTTGCAATCACACTGACATATTTAACTTCTGTCTGTAACTGTTTTTGTATTAATTATCTCAATTTTATAAAATTTGATAATTTGGCGGGGGGGGGGGGGGCAGAATGATATATTTCACAGATTTATAGAAACCTTAGGAAGTTTCACTTGAGGTTTAATTAATTTGTTGTTGTTTACAGCGCTGGATCTCCAAGGGTGTGGTATCTCTACGACAGGGGCGAAGGCGTTACTCGACGTACTTAAATACAACACGACAGTGGTCGTACTGGACGTCCGACGTAACCCTCTTATAGGTAAGCATAGAGGTCAAGGTTCAAGTTCAAGTTGTTTATTTAAGTGTCACTTATCACAATTACATTTGTGTTCATTAATACATATAAAAATACTTGTACAAAATATAAATCAATTCCATTGGTACATATAAAATACTTGCAGTTGGCTGTTTCCTAGAACTTAAAATAGTTTGTTTAACATAAAAAAACACCACTTGTAATAGGGATCAATATCGACATTAGATTATTGTGAGACTACCCTTCTTATTATTATTTACATGTAGGTTGCATAGATACTGGACTGTTATAGCTGTGTGTAAGTTAAAAGAAAAGTATCAAAGTTAATATTTAGAACGAACAAAAATATTTAGTGTTTCCGGTAACCCTACCTACCCTTATTTTGTGTGCTTACCCTTAACTTTTTAAGGCAATTTTTTTTTAAAGAAGCACTATTAATGTCAAGATCACTCTCCTATTTAAACCATATGAAATTATTTGTTAGAATAAAATTTGTTACCTACCTACCTACCCTAAACTCATTCACCCCTGAAATTTATAATGAACTATTCCAATCTTTAAATTGGAAAGGTTCAAATGTGTCTTCAGGGGTGAATGAGTCAAGCTAATTAAATGTTGAACAACAAGACATAGATGATGAGACACCCAATGCAGACCAATAGCGGAGAGAAGTTTGTAGAATTATTATAAGATCCTTGACTGGTCGTTTTACACCAACTCTAGACCTGTTGTTTACCAAGGATCAGTTAGCACTAGAGATAAGGCCAGACATTATCAATGATACTGAGGGTCCAAGCAATGTTTACACATACCTCCTGTATCAGTATATTAATTCTCTATTAATCAATAATACTGAGGGTCCAAGCAATGTTTACACATACCTTCTGAATCAGTATATTAATTCTCTATTAATCGCTGATACAGTCTTCCTCAGCATCTCGCTGGAGAGCAAACCTGATAAGGAAGGTTTGCTGATAAAGAAGTTTATTTTCGGCCACAAAATAAAGTTATCTGACTTTGGTAAACTGTTTACTGTTGAGAATTAATGTCATTGTACTATAGAGGTTGTAATGCAACAACAGGACATACACCTTAACCCATTGATTGTGAACCAGAGTGGGAGGTTTAGTGAAGACACAAAGTTTAGTGCCTAAATTGATGACCGTCACCTTTGACCTTGACCTCTGTGATATTGGTTAAATTTTTAGCATTCACATCTGTTATGGACCTACTACATATACATATAGTTGCAGTAATTGTGAAAACGTGTTCTGAGGCATGAAGTGTTACCCTTGTCTGTCTGGACGATTAAAGTCTCCATCTAGGTCAGTTATGGACGGTTACTGTACTGTAACTGTAATTGGGGGACAACTGTGGTTAGAAAGGAGTTGATTATCAGACTTGCCTCTAGATTACTTTGTTACACACGTAAACCTCTCTTTCAATCTGTCAGTTCCTGTGTGACTTTCTGTGGTACTGCCAACTACTGCAACTAGGGTCAAGTATCTTCACATGCTTATGGGACTTAATGAGAGCAGCATGGTACACATCATGTTTGTGACCTTGACCTCTGTGAACTTGCTTTAAGTTTAAGCATTCAAGTCCAAGTACTGCAGCTAGGATTAAGCATAGTCACTTGCTTTAATGACCTAATGAGAACAGCATGGTACACAGTATTTTTGTGACCTTCGTGTTTGACCTTGACCTCTGGCCTTGGGTCAGTTTTTCACATGAAAGTCAGTTATGGACAAAATACTGCAGCTAGGGTCGCACATAAAAATGCAAACATTTCATGCCCCTCGACCTTTAATAGTGATGTGGGTATAAAAAGTATACAGCTTTCGACTCCAATGTTTGACCAACACCTCTGTTGTTTAATGAATGGCCAGAGTTGATAAAGGGGGGACAACTGTGGTTAGAAAGGAGTTGATTATCAGACTTGCCTCTAGATAACTTTGTTACACACGTAAACCTCTCTTTCAATCTGTCAGTTCCTGTCTGTGACTTTCCGTGGTACTGCCAAGATTTTTGCACCAGGGGGTAACCGATTGGGAGAATTTAATTTGTCTTTTAACAGAAATACGAAAAAAATCTTTATTTAATTAATTTATCCATAAATAACCAACAACACAACCCTGATTGTTGTCCTCATTATAATCCAAACTTTACAATTCCTTAATTGGTTATCCTGAAGTTCCATTCAGTTTGATATAGCACACTGTAATAGTGTATAAGATAATGTGGATAGTAAACACAGGATAACAAGGTACAGACCCTTTATGAGCCCAAGGGTGCACAGTTAGATAAATGTTTTATTAACAGTTAGAGTTAGGTCAAAGTGTAAAAGGATAAGATTTTATTTAAGGTGTACATATCAAACAAGATAAAATTCAGGTATTTTTATACTGTACCGCATGTTAAGTGTAAAACAGTCCTATACTGAACTTATACATCAGTGAGATCTTAGAGGGATCACTGACAGCCCAGTAGGTAGGTCTGAGAGGGAATCACTGACAGCCCGCCCAGTAGGTAGGTCTGAGATGGAATCACTGCCAGCTCAATAGGTAGGTCTGAGAGGGAAGCACTGACAGCCCGCCCAGTAGGTAGGGCTGAGAGGGAATCACTGACAGCCCAGTAGGTGGGTCTGAGAGGAAATCACAGACAGCTCAGTGGGTAGGTCTGAGAGGGAATCACTGACAGCCCAGTAGGTAGGTCTGAGGGGGAATCACTGACAGCCCAGTAGGTGGGTCTGAGAGGAAATCACAGACAGCTCAGTGGGTAGGTCTGAGAGGGAATCACTGACAGCTCAATAGGTAGGTCTGAGAGGGAATCATTGACAGCTCAGTAGGTAGGTCTGAGAGGGAATCACTGACAGCCCAGTAGGTAGGTCTGAGAGGGAATCACTGACAGCTCGGTAGGTAGGGCTGAGAGGGAATCACTGACAGCCCAGTAGGCGGGTCTGAGAGGAAATGACAGACAGCTCAGTGGGTAGGGCTGAGAGGGAATCACTGACAGCTCGGTAGGTAGGTCTGAGAGGGAATCACTGACAGCCCACCCAGTAGGTAGATCTGAGAGGGAATCACTGACAGCTCAATAGGTAGGTCTGAGAGGGAATCACTGACAGCTCAGTAGGTAGGTCTGAGAGGGAATCACTGACAGCCCAGTAGGTGGGTCTGAGAGGAAATGACAGACAGCTCAGTGGGTAGGTCTGAGAGGGAATCACTGACAGCCCAGTAGGTAGGTCTGAGAGGGAATCACTGACAGCTCAATAGGTAGGTCTGAGAGGGAATCACTGACAGCTCAGTAGGTAGGTCTGAGAGGGAATCACTGACAGCTCAGTAGGTAGGTCTGTATTCTGTTATATATAAACTTGAGAGATTCCTTCTAAGATCTAAACAGCTATTCTGTTATTTATAGCTTACAATTTTTACAAAGCAATTTTAGTTTTTCTACAACTTAAATCACTGAAAGGGCTGATTGGAAGTGTACGGAAGGTTTCAATGTGAGTTGAAAGCAGAGTACCTGAGAAAACAGTTACATAGTCATACCTGATGTGGGAGTTGAGCCTCGGCCATCTCCGGGAGAGGCGAGGGAGCTATCCCCTACACAACCTGACCAGCTTTGTGTTCTGTTGTAATCTCTTGTCAGATTTCTAAACCGAAGATCAAATATAAAACAAAATCAATTACGCAGTAACAAATTGATAAACTATCGTGTTGTAAGGACTTACATGTTGTCTTTACTTGTGACAGACGTGTTACCTTTGTCCGTGTCGTGTCTGAGTGTGGTCTGGTCCAGTCCGGCCTTGTCGTCTGGCTGTGGTATCTGATATTGTATAGTGATGTTTATGTCCCTATTATCCAATTCAATATCGACATTTTCACACAAAAAATAATCAAAAACTAATCATAGTGTCTGCATTTTTGTTTTGCCTTGATATTGAGTAGCAGTTTTTATGCCCACGCTACATAGAGAGAAGGGGACATTAAGTGGCTCCTCCTGTCAGTCGGGTGGTCGTTTGGCCCGTACAGCCCTGTACAACAGTTAGTCTGTACTAAGCACGCTGACTTTGTGTTAAGATCCATTTCTTTGATTTAACTTTAGCTCCATCTCCATCAAAGCAGCAATGGGTGCCTATTGAATTTAACATTTTCTGGTATCGTTATAAACCACTGTCTTCCTACTGGTAATCGCACAGTGACTGTAGTCACAAACGCTTGGTACAAAAATTCTTCAAAACAATCTAGTGATTTTATCCAGGTTTTGTGTGAAAAATATTTTTGTGATTTTATTCCTCGCCTACGACTTCAACATTGATGTCATCAACGTTATTTCTAGATACAGCTTTATGGGACCAGGCGGAGTACTGTGCTGGGTGCCTTCGGCATGGCATTTCAGTGAGATGGCACTATAAAGTCGGCATCAGATCTGCACTATCACAAGGAGGCAAGCACACCAACATACCCTGTCTGCTGCATACACACACGCGAGCATGCATACACTACACACATGGAGGCACATCCTTAAATGGCCTTAGCTTTTAATAGGTTGTTAAACAAAATTAAACCAAACCAAACTTTATCGCTATTTTACTACCCCTTGAACAGCCGAGCGGTTCAGGAATCTGATCGTCTTTGATCACTAGCCCTCCACCACGGTGCACTTGGTCAGGGGTTCCAAGCCTACCAGGGGCAGTCGCCAGGTACTGGCCGCTGGTGTGGGTTTTTTTTCTTCAGGTATTCAGATATTCCTTCACCAGAAAACCTGTCACATCCTTAAATAGCTATGGTGAAGGTAATAGATATAAAGATATACTGGAAATAATTAAAACACATGGCGATGAAATTGGTAAGATCAAATGAATCATGAAGAAAATAGACTTTGTGCTGTGAGTGTGAAAAAAACCTTCTGTTGGTAAAACTATTACTTTGTATTGACAGATTGTGATAATAAAACTTTGTGTTGACAGATTGTGATATTTGTGTTGACAGATCGTGATATTTGTGTTGACAGATCGTGATATTTGTGTTGACAGATCATGATATTTGTGTTGACAGATCGTGATGTGGTACACTCAATCATGGAACAGCTGATGATCAACTGTAACGGCCAGGATACTGAGGTAGGTCAAGGTCAACACAAGGTCAGGGAATCACTTAAAGGAAAGAGCCAGCACAGAATCAGAGACACTGCACCAAGATGTCTAGGGCACTTAACTGAAGATCAAACCCAATTCAGGCTCAAAGACACTTAAGGTCAAGAACAACACAGGGTTAAGGGGAAAAGCTGATGAGGTCAAGGCCAATGCAGTGTCATATGCAAAACACCAAAGGTTAAATGTCAAAGCTAAGCTATGACAGGGTCAGAGACATCACATCTTTGTGTGTGGATATTTTCATGCTAATTTACTCAAAGCCAAAAATGCAAGCATTCCAACACCAATATAATTCCCAATTTTTGCTGTTTTGTCAGAGGACCATGCTAGTTACAGTCTATCATGATACAGACTTCAACAACAGGTTTAGAAAACAATGTTTAAGTATCTTCTTTATAAAACGATAATTTGGTAAATGTCAGAGGTTGCATTAACACATGTAGCACTGTCTAGAAGTGATTTAGATTTGTCTGAAATTAAAGCTTAAAAGGGGTCAGTGTTCAATGCACAGCTAAGTAACTATGACTGTAAACCATTAAGAATAAGAAATTGAGCAAAATAAAGCACTTTTGGCCTCTTTGTAAAAAAAATGTATTAGGGTTTAATTTTTGTCAAAATATTTTCAATTCTGCTTCAAAATCACTAACAATTCAACTTAATCCAGTTTCTCAAGAAACAATTTTAATTCTGTAAATTCTTTTTTATATCTTTGATTTTAGGGACATTGTATTAAGCTGATGTATTATTTGTTGACAGTACAAATGGATCAAAGCAGACGATCCCTTGGAAGGAGGAAAATTCAAGTCGTCGAAAAAACGTCGAACAAAGACCTTAAACTCCAGCTTTGGCCGTAAAGCCACCATCAGGGTAATTTTCACTACTTTGTACACAGAGGTTTTCACAGATATTTTCTTTCCTTACAAAACAGCTGAAGATGTACCGTGTCTAGTCTAGCCCAAAACCCAAACTGAGGGGTTTTTACCCCCACAGCAGTTGATTGTTTCACCATTTATCAAGGAATATTCTGTAACATTAAGTACCTCAAGGTACAAAATCTTGAAAATCTATCAAATATAGCCTTGAATCTGAAGTAAACGGTGAACAGCAGGCTGTAGATAAAACTAACATATCTCTCTTTCTCTGATCAAACACTGGATATCCGTTCAAACATTGATCAAATACTGGATATCCATACAAACATTGATCAAATACTGGATATCCATACAAACATTGATCAAATACTGGATATTCATACAAACATTGATCAAACACTGGATATCCATACAAACATTGATCAAACACTGGATATTCATACAAACATTGATCAAATACTGGATATTCATACAAACATTGATCAAATACTGGATATCCATACAAACATTGATCAAACACTGGATATCCATACAAACATACTGTTGATTGTTAGGTTTCATGAAAAGATTCCACTCGTTAATCACAACCATCTCCTTTCTGAAGAGTTTAATAATTCACATTAATAAATGGCCAAACAATATTGAAAAGAACTTTTCTTTTTCTGATTTATCATTATCCATCCTCTTGACCTGAACTTTAGACTTTACATTTGAAATCAGGTCATTTTCTCACCTTTGTAATTCTATTTGATGTCCAACCCCAGTATCAAAGTCTTCTCCACTAGCAGTCATGTTAAAAATGCAAAACAAACATATATTGGAATCCTATTTATTGTTATTTTAGCAGAAGTGTTATTTTCACAATTAGATGGATTGACTGACCTGTTGTGATAGTAAACCTTCTATTACTGGTAGATATGACACTGACAAGTCAAATCTGTAAACATGGTTTAGATTTTCCTGTGTTTCTTAAAACTACAGAGGTTTGAAACATAAGATCTGATCGACTGCTCTGCCTATACATTTTCAGATTTCTGCAGGAGTGGCACGGCGACGTACTAAGTCGGCCGGAGCAGTGGGTGTGGCCAGACGTCTTCAGCTTAACAATGACGGCGCCAAATCAGGCATGCCGTGGAGGACTGCGGCCAGGGCCAACAGATACAGGTATGGCTTACAGCTAGGGCCAACAGATACAGGTACGGCTTACAGCTAGGGCCAACAGACACAGGTACGGCTTACAGCTAGGGCCAACAGACACAGGTACTGGTTACAGCTAGGGCCAACAGATACAGGTACAGCTTACAGCTAGGGCAAACAGATACAGGTATGGCTTACAGCTAGGGCCAACAGATACAGGTATGGCTTACAGCTAGGATCCGAAATCTACAAGTGTACAATACCAGACACTAATACTGTAATAATATATCAATACTTTTGGGTTTTTTCCATATTCAAACAAACAATATGATACAGGATATGTTAACTTAGTATTGTGATACCTTAAACTTACAATTTAAATTTTACCTTTAAAAAAAAAAGAGTTGAATTCCCTTTGTGTGCTCTTAAAATCATATTTGACTTTGAGAAAAACTTAGACCAATCATAGAAAGATGTTGAGTTGAGGTATGAGCATACAGCTGATTTTATGTTTACCACAATCTATTTCAAACTATATTGATGTGGATAAAGAGGCAGCAATGCCTGTGTCCACTAATATCCTTTTCTTTTCTTTTTTAAATGATCACACCAGATTTGAGTGTAGAGTAGCAAAACATGGAGTTGAGGGGAGCCAAAAGGGGGACAAAATTTTATCATCAGCTCATGCCACCTTCAAATCACCAATGTGGCAGTATTTTTATTTTTCCATTGGAATAAATGAACAGGAGGAAATCGTCAACAAATAATTAACAGGCAGTAAATGATGTGATTACAAAGTACACAGTACGGTACCAAACTTGTCATCGCAAGTGACGTTAGGCATACATCAAGCGTCGAGTCCACACAATTTGTAGCTTACATCAAGCGTCGAGTCCACACACTTTGTAGCTTACATCAAGCGTTGAGTCCACACAATTTGTAGCTTACATCAAGCGTCGAGTCCACACAATTTGTAACTTACATCAAGCGTCGAGTCCACACAATTTGTAACTTACATCAAGCGTCGAGTCCACACAATTTGTAGCTTACATCAAGCGTCGAGTCCACACAATTTGTAGCTTACATCAAGCGTCGAGTCCACACAATTTGTAGCAAAGCCTTCGCCACACATAAGCCCATACAATTCAATCTAAGCAGAATTATTTTGAAGCCTCTGTTTCATTGGGTTAGACCAATTTCAATGGCAACTAATGTAGTAATTTAAGAATTGTTTTGCTTTGATAATACCACATTCAGTGGTAGAAATTCAATGATTCAAATCAATGTTAGCCCCAGGATGATGCCTCGGTGGAGGACTAGGTGTAGGGGTGAACTGTACAGACCACAGCATTAAAACCTGCCAGAGAAGGGGTTTTGTGTGCTTTCTATGTTGTTTTATATAGTTTCATATATATAGGATCTTACATGAGTTTCCATTTCATATGAGATTTATAAAACGAGTCTTAAGAATTTTCCAATTTAACGAGCCTCTGGCAAGCTAAAATGAAAAATTTGTGAAGAGTTTTATAAATTTCATATGAAATGAAAACAAGTGTAAGATCCTTTTTATCTCATAATCAAGATTTGTGGCATTTATTCATGTAAAACAACAATTTTCATGCAGATGTAAGAATCTGCCATTTTGACTCCAGTACGTAAGTCTGTGACGTCCTGTACTTGTCCTAGGCATGACGTGAAAATTGAAACAGTTGAAACTTACAACCAATCACAAGGCTGATAGGTCATATTACATGGGTAACTACGCAAAACATATGACATGGGTATATTCACTGGATAACACAGTACAATATGTGATAAATCATGACTGATGTAACACACCTAACCCCACCACACACCCTATTAATGGTGGGTTTCCCTCTCCCATCCATCTACAGGTGTAACACAACTAACCCCACCACACACCCTATTAATGGTGGGTTTCCCCCTCCCATCCATCTACATGTGTAACACACCTAACCCCACCACACCCCCTATTAATGGTGGGTTTCCCTCTCCCATCCATCTACAAGTGTAACACACCAAACCCCACCACACACCCAATCAACACCAGGTCTCCCCCCCCCACCCATCTACAAGAAAAACACACCAAACCCCACCACACACCCTATTAATGGGGGGTTTCCCCCTCCCATCCATCTAGAAGTGTAACACACCTACGCCCACCACACACACTATTAATGGTGGGTTTCCCCCTCCCATCCATCTAGAAGTGTAACACACCTACGCCCACCACACACACTATTAATGGTGGGTTTCCCCCTCCCATCCATCTAGAAGTGTAACACACCTACGCCCACCACACACACTATTAATGGTGGGTTTCCCCCTCCCATCCGTCTACATGTGTAACACACCTAACCCCACTATACCCCCTATTAATGGTGGGTTTCCCCCTCCCATCTGTCTACAGGTGTAACACACCCAACCCCACCACACACCCTATTATTGGTGGGTTTACCCATCCCATCCATCTACACGTCTAACACACCTAACCCCACCACACACCCTTTTAATGGTGGGTTTACCCATCCCCTCCATCTACAAGTGTAACACACATACCCCCCCCACACACCCTATTAATGGTGGGTTTACCCATCCCATCCATCTACAAGTGTAACACACCTAACCCCACCACACACCCTATGAATGGTGGGTTTACCCCTCCCATCTGTCTACAGGTGTAACCCACTAACAGCTAAACACACGTCTGACAGTGATACGCCACCTTGTCTAGCCCTCTACCATCATCACATATATACAGCTTCAAATTTCTACCTTTAGATTATCTCTTAAGGATGTTCAAGATTAACAAGAACACAAATGTGATGTTGTATCTGTTTCCAGAGGATTTCCCCCAGAGCACATCCCCGGCAAGGCAAGTCTGTTTGAAAATAGCGAAGTGTCGCCCAATACATCTCCAGACCATTCTGCCTCACTTCTCATCACCCATGACGACCTGGAGGACGAGGACACTCTGAGGGAGCTTGAGAAGGTTGTCCTGGACGACAGTGCCCTCTCCACAGGTATCAACAGTGCCAAGGAGCTACAGGTAGGATGTCTTACTGACCTAAGTCATCAGTCCCTACTACAGGTATATTAGGTTGTATATGACTGCATACTGTTCACAGCAACATTGCCCAGGAAATACTTTGAATCAGATGGCCTTATTAGGGCCGTGCATCAGAGGTACAGGTGCCCTAAAGTGATCACTGTGCCCATCTGTCTGTCCATCCATACTCTCTTTAATGGATTTTTTTCCGGAATCCAAAAGACTGATCTTTCTGATATTTGAAATGGCCATACACTGTGAAATGTAGGTGTGCAGGAGTGTTTAAAAGTTTATGAGGTCACAGTAAAGGACACTTCAAAAAATAGACTATGGGTGTGTGGTCCTTATCTTGGAATCCAAAGGACTGATCTTATTCTCACATTCCAGTATCTTCTTGCTCATGAAGACAAACCTTGTAAGATTTAGTTCAGTGTGTCCCTGTGTCGTTCCAGAGCACTTTGTTTCCGTAGATATAAATATTATGGTCTGTCAGTGACGATGTATTGGATGGTCCTGGCTAGTTAACTTTACCCGTGTTATGGGATTACTTGGAGTGCTTCTTTGTATCAATCAGTATGTACTCAATTTTCTCCTCTTTTTAAAGTTCAACTGAGCCAGTTTCATTCAGATGAGCATTAAGGCCAGTAGAAATCCATAACTAATGCTCAGCCAACTAAAAGGATGTTCTTATAAAGACACTTCAGTATTGATTTTAAAATTTTCCACAGAAAATTTAAAAATACCTTATTTGTTGCACTTCCTCTCATTGAATTAAAACTCTGAAATTCATTTAGAAAATTAAATTAAATAGCCAATTTTCTGAATGTGAAAGATTTTTCATTCTTCAGAAAACAAAATCTTTTTAGACAGGATAATTTAATCACACAATTAGTGGATATTGAATTCAGCATTCATTTGTTTTCCATATTCAACTGATAAAACAAGAAAAGGATGGGGGGGGAAAAAGAAAACTTCCAATGAATTGAAACCTGTTTCACGACTAGTGATGGTATTAAATTGTCATCAACATTAACTCATTCAACAGTACCCCTGGAGACACATTTGAACTTGTCCGATTCAAAGGTTGGAATAATTCATTATGATATATCAGGGGTGAATGAGTTAAAACAAGGCTTTGCTTTAGTGAAAAGGATCCCTGTCCCACTACATCCTGTTTTTATTCTATACACAGTAACCTCCCCTTAACCTCCGTTTGGATAGTTTGGGCAGAATACATCTGTTGGCCAGGTAGCTCAGTCTGTTAGAGCGATAGTATAACAATCTGAAGTCTGGAGTTTGAATCCTGGTCTAATAATTTGTACACTCAAAACACTTTTATTAATCATATTTTGTTTATTTTATCTTTTTATTTCTCATAAAAGTCCCATAAGGCATGGGTTTTTATTTTCAGAAATTGTTTACCAAAACTATAGTCATGCCGGAAAAAACAGTTTCCAACATTTAGTAACAGTCTATAGTGGTGGTAGGGGATCTTAAGGTGTATATATACCAATCAGTCTCATCATCTGTAGTCCATCACTCCCCAACTTGTAACATAAACTTCATAATAGTTACATAGAACTTACCAAAGGAAATAAACATATATCAAACTTAAAACTTAGGATAAAAATTGAATATATCATTTGAAGAAGAAATCACATTCTATTTTGCTTATAAACCAAACTATTTCCAAACATGCCATGTTATCAGTTAATTGTTCTAGATTTAGAAAAAAACGTTGTTCAGTTACTTAAGACCTTATTTTATGAACTTTTATTACTTACATCCATCCTCGATATCCAGGGGTAACGCTCACTTTCGCTCTCTGCACCCCTGGAATATGTCATAACAAAATTAAAGGCTCAGTGTGAACCGCCTTGTGCACAAGACAAAAAGACTAGTTTGATCCTTTGATGTACATCAAAAGAATCTCCTGATCATGTAACGGTAAAACTAACTGGCTTTGAAGTCGGGCGTCGCTCCTCTGTAATCTTCAAGGACAAGTATCAGCCTAGTGATTGGTCAGGTTAGTTTACCTGACACCAATCAAATTTTGCTATATGACATATTCCAGGGGCGAAAGTGAGAGTAACCTCTGGTCCATCATATCGAGGTTTACCTTCACTTTATATTAGCCTGGCCTGACTTTTGATCACAATATGTTACATTTGTTTTATCAAATACAGTCGAGTATGTAACATCCATAAGGTTAGGTTCCTTGTTGCCATAACTTGCTATATGTTTTGGTCTTCATAAGACAGTAACCTGCCAGAGGACAAAGACTTTGTAATGAGACCAATTTGCAGTATGCCTGTTTGTACAAATAGGCATATAGCTGAGAGTAAATGTCGCTACATCTATAACCCAAGCACACAGGAATTATCTCCCTTGTTTGTGTATAGTGTGTTCATCATTGGAAGAGTATCTGACAGTATGGAACCCGCTCGAGTTACCTCCCCTTGTATATTACCGACACTTTCCCATTTACAGATAGAGCTGATACAGATGAAGAGACAGCTACAGCAGGAAAGATTGGCCAGGGCAAAGTGTGACAAGAAAATTATTGAGGTCAGTATTTATTGTTAGAAACGTGACAAGAAAATTATTGAGGTCAGTATTCATTGTTAGAAATGTGACAAGAAAATTATTGAGGTCAGTATTCATTGTTAGAAACATGACAAGAAAATTATTGAGGTTAGTATGTACAGAAGTTTAACATATTTTCCAGCCTTTTGAAATTTCCATGGGGGAGATTCCACATGCTTAAAATAATAAACATAAATAAAATGTGTGTATATACCCCCTAACCCTTTAAAATGACTTATTTTGAGCTGTTCTTTCAGATGAAATCAGTCATTGTTACAACATATGAATAGTTCAACAAAATTCTCTGATTTTAAATATATTAAGAATAAAGGTTCAAAATCAAAAATACCCATCCTAAGTAAGGAGAGTTGGCTAGAACACAGTACAACGTGTGACAAGAAATATTTTTTAAGTCAGTATGTATTCTACAAAAACTGACAAAAAATATTTTTAGGTTAGTATTTATTGTACAGTGACAAGAAAACAATTGAGATAAGGATTTACTTTAGGTAGATTTCCCAACATTTTCTTCGGGTTGATAAGTATGAATTGTGAGAAAATTCATGTAGCACAACCAGTAAGTGTTTATATGTGACGAACCGAGTCCTTACAGTACATATATAACAACTAATTGTACACACGCTTACATTGTGGATTGGCGTGGACAACTCGTACATATTTTACACCTTTTTGAACATACAATACAAGAGTACATATCGTCATGGAAATGTCATATATAAACACTTACTGGTTGTGCTACATGAATTTTTTCTCAAAACTTTAAATAGAGGTTAGATCAATGGGTTTCTGACTTCTGTCCAATATTTGATCAGAAGTCACGTCCTATACCTAAGGTGTGAATGGTTGATAACTTGATACATTGACATAGATTGCCTAGTGGTAATGTATTTGTTGTATTACAGCTGTCCATAGAGAACCGACGCCTACAGGATGACTACGACCGTTTGAGAAGGAGTCACTTCGGAGGCGGGGCACCAGGGGGCAATATCCTGGACGATGACAGTACATTGGAGAGTATAGAGGGCGCCTTCAAACAGTTCCACCACTTCCTCGACCTCCTCAAGGACGCAGGGTAGGCACTTTACAATCAGACATTGGTAATTTTCTGTTAGATAAAATATTTGGACAATTTAAGTTATATTTTACACATACTGACTTACATTTATTTATTTATATTCTGAAGAGAATCCCGCTAAAAATCCTCAGATCTGACACAAATTAATCTAAAGAAATATCATGATGTCTTTTTACACAAATAGCTGTTGTCAAAGATTACCCAGCAGCTATGCATCTGATGCCTAGAAATTTTTTCCAGATTAGATAATTATATCAAGGATATTTTATATGTAAATGTGTTTGACAGTCAATATAAAAAAGTTATGGAAAAGAAAAAATAAAGTTGTTGTTAATATTATTTATTGATTCAATGATAAAAGAAATAAGATTAAAATTGTTTTTTATGATGGTGTACAATTTTGTCGTGTTATAGCCTTGGGGAGTTGATCACAATGGCGGGACTGGACCACAAAGAATCGCCATTTGTCAGCGCTAGTCAACTCCCTGTCACAAAGGGACAAAGTTATAGTCAACAACCCAAGTCATCCACTCCCTACAACAGCGGGACTGCCAGCCGCATCCCACCACACCCCGCTAAACCCATGAAAAAGACCAACGGTTTCCTCGGCGACATCACATCCAGCAATAAAGTGGCAACATCTGGATTCTCCGGCGGAACGTTCAGTGTCCAAGCGGCCAGCGATCCCACAATGAAACGACATTTTGAGGGCACGTATGACACTGCTGAGCAGGCAAAACGTGACGAGTTATATGAGAGAATATTACAGGAGACTTCAAACGCATTCCACCATAATCGTACTGGCGGAAAGCCCCAAGGGGAGGCAATGCATGCTGAAAACAAAAATAAACAAGACACTGACGACAAGGCAAAAGAATGGAGTAAGAAATTAGGCGAGGAAATAGTGTTTGACGCCAGCGAGGTGGACGATTCCCCTAAAGTTAGTCGCCCTGTGCCCCTCCCGAGGGGCAGGTCTAGTGAGGAGGAGGGGGTTAGTGTACAAAATGGTAAACCTACAGACAGTGGTAAACCTGCTGATACAGCAGGTCCTGGTCCAAGGGACGGGTCACGCATGAGTGACTACAACTACAGTATGGACAGCTTCGAACAGTCGTATCTCAGCGAGCGAGGAGAGGTGGTGCGATTCGACGGAGACTTCGACACTTATGGAAGTTCACCATCACCACCACCCCAAATTATAGAAAGTGAAGAAAATGATTTTTAGGGCAACAAAGATTTTTTGTTTTAAATTTAATTGTCCAATAACATACAATAACAGATTTTCAAGCATTGCTAACAAAACACTTTTTTTCATAACTTTTTTTCTTGCAAATATTTAGATAGGTTTTGTTTTTTTCGAAAAATGACCGATATTATTCAACTGTATAAATATTCATATTTCTTCCATCAAAAATATTTTTCCTGCTCAATTAATGTAGAGAGTCCATTCGTTCCTTATTTTCTGTAAGGAGGAAGAGTTTCAATTCATTTTATAATTGTCTGATTTAGAATTGCTTACCAATTAGCTATAGCAGAGTTGTTTGCGTAACAAACATCTCTGCTCTGTCCCAGGACCTCTTGATTAGAACGTAGGGCGCTTATCCACTGCATTACTAGTCATGATAATCGTTATTTTGTACTTTTCTGCAACATAACTCAGAAAAATATCTAAATGTTCTAACCCCATAAAAAGCCTGAAGCTTAAAATTATTTTTGATTATAAACAGGAAATTACAGTTTAAAGCCAGTACACAGTAAAGTTGTTGGACTCTATACCTGAATTTACACCAAATAAAAAGTATAGTGACCTGCCCTGGGCCTAAAGACAGTTATCTCCCCTGGCCCACTAGACAGCTATCACCCCTGGCACACTAGACAATTATCTCCCCTGGCCCACAAGACAATTATCTCCCCTGGCCCACTAGACAATTATCTCCCCTAGCCCACAAGACTGTTATCTCCCCTGGCCTACTAGACAATTATCTCCCCTGGCCCACTAGACAGTTACCTGCCCCAGCCCACAAGACAGTTATCTCCCTTTGCCCATTAGACGATTATCTCCCCTGGCCCGCTAGACAATTATCTCTCCTGGCACACTAGACAGATTAAGTACAGCACATTATTATCAAAGCTAGGTCACAAAAAATCTCACTCAAAATAATCGAGAAAATGCATAGTTCCGTCCAAAAGTTCATCATTTTCTCACAGTCCGTCCAGAATTAATTTACACCAATATGTTTGTGTATTTCTAACTGCTGGTTTTAGTGTAGTTCTTGCTTTTCTTTTTTGAAAAATTATTGCATGTTTGATCTAAAAATTAGAAATTTATGTAACTCTTTTCTTCAATATGCTCAAACTATGTAAAAAAAGTCACATCAAATGATCTGTTTGATATCACCCATTCTTGTGCCTCAAGTAAGATTGTCATGGGTTGTCACAAACAGGAAAACGGGATATGTTTCCAGGTTTTTCTTCTGGTCAGTTATTTTTATAATCCTGTGGTATCTGTGATAAAATTATCAGAATCTCATTACCATTCCACATGATAGAAAATGTGAATCTGAACTTTGTTTTAGAAGTCAAATTGGATGAGAACTCGTTTTATTGGCCTCTATATACATCACTGACTTTTGTTTCTGCTGAAAGAAAAATCAGATTAAGAGATGATTTGCTTTAAGGATCCTTGTCACACTGTACTGTAGTTTTTACAGTACCCTTCCTTTGATTTCATTTAAGATATATTTTTAGCACAGTTACGGCCAGGACACTTCTGTTGACCAGTCAGTCCGTTAGAGTGACAGTATAACAACCCTTAGTTCAGGGTTCGAATCCCAGACAAGTCCCGCTGATTTAGTTTTTAATCAGGCCACTGTTGTTGTTATTATTTTGGTTTATCTCATATCTACTATATTTCATGAAAGAACATGTAAATCTGAACTTTGTTTTAGAAGTCAAATTGGATGAGAACTCGTTTTACTGGCCTCTATATACAAAATAATACATCACTGAGTTTTGGTTCTGAAAAAAACACTCGGTTTCAAAGATGATTTGCTTTAAGGATCCTTGTCCCACTGTAATTATTTGCTTTAAGGATCCTTGTCCCACTGTAATTATTTGCTTTAAGGATCCTTGTCCCACTGTAATTATTTGCTTTAAGGATCCTTGTCACACTGTACTGTAGTTTTTACAGTACCCTTCCTTTGATTTCGTTTTAGATGTATTTTTAGCACAGTTACGGCCAGGACACTTCCGTTGACCAATCAGTCCGTTAGAGCGACAGTGAAACAACCCTTAGTTCAGGGTTCGAATCCCAGACAAGTCCGGCTGATTTAGTTTTTAATCAGGCCACTGTTGCTGTTATTACTTTGGTTTATCTCATATCTACTATATTTCATGACAGTCCGGCAAGGTATGGGTTTTTTTTCCCATAAATTATTTATCAATGCTATTGTCAGGTAGACGAAATCAGTTTTCAGTACCTAGTCACTGTTTTTGGCAGTGGTATGGGGATCCGTAAGTCCATGTAGGGCTGCTCATTCAAAATTTGACACGTTGAACAACCTGTTTCAGTAATGAGAGTGAGTCTGAGAGCATGTCAACCCTTTAACACAGCCAAGAGTTTTCAGAGCACAACATACTTGCAAACTTTTTGAAATTTCCACATGGGGAGATTCTACATTCTCAAAATTAAAACACAAATAAAATGTGTGTCTATACCCCCTATAGACAAAGTAACCCTTTAAAATTATAAATTTTGAGTTCTTTCAGATGAAATCAATAGATCTTCAAATATAGGAATAGTTTAGCAAATTCACTGGTTGAAAATACTAAATGTATGGACTGAAAATTGGGAGTCTCCCTCCTAAATAGGGAGAGTTGGGAAGTATGGTGCATTTTTCTTTAGAAAAACCTGAAATCTTGGGGGGGGGGGGGGGGTTCTTGCAATCTTTTTGAATTCCTTTATTGTATACTGGGGATTTTTTGGACTGGAAATTATTTTGCCTTCATCTGATAAAATCAATATTAGCCCTGCATTTATTTCGCCTTGAACATGTTATGACTACATTAGTAGGTTGTATATTTGTGTTATTCACCATCAGGATACATTCCACCTTGTTATGAAGGGCAAAAGAGGCGGAAGTTAAACTGCTGCAAAGAGTTCCAGATATTCACTATATTTAACTTCAGTTTTGTATTTCAATAGTTGAATAAAGAAAATAGAAAAAAAAACACCACAAAATGTAGTTTTTCGTGTTAAAATGGCCAGAAGATAATCAGGCTTTGTTTTAAATTAGACATGAATTGATTGTTGATCTCATACATTGTGTATCACATGATCAGGTTGATTTATAGCTCTGGTATTGCTGGGATAGAAATGTCAAGGATCCCTCATCCTGTCATAGCAGCGAGTTTGCTGACAAAAATGACGTAATTTTTGTGAAACATTGTGTGGAATTGTTTGTATACAAAAAGAAAAAGGTTTTGGTGAAAAAATAAGATAAATGTTTCCATTATTCTGTGTCTGGTTTTCTTCTGTGAATGTAAATACATTGTACATAGCAAATGAGGAGAGAATGAGCATCACTGTCTGGCTTTACTGCTTGGCTGCTTCGTTCATGCAACATGGCAGAGAAAATGAGTTATGGCCCTTTGTATAAATATCTACGCGTGCCAAGTTTTGTTTGGCAAGAAATACCGGTTAGTATTCAATTACGTGTACATGTAAATCTCCCTTTGATTGTGGTGGATGTTTGAACAGCGTGTTTTTTTAATGCTTTGCTCTGTTTTAGAAGAGATATACAGTATCTGGTGTAATTCAGTAATGATACTGATTTTTGTTTATGTCTCACATCTCACAGCTATGGTCATTTAAGCACATGCCAGGTTTTGGTGGTGGAAGTACCTGGAGAAGAACCACAGACCTTTGGCCAATACCTAGCAACTGCCCAACGTGGGCCCCAAACCCTTTACCCACATTGGGCAGTTGCAGATACTAATGTAGATAGCTTTATTACAACCATTTTAGGTTATCTACTGTTTAACATGGATTATATTACTTGTGATATTGTAGAAATCCTTGGAAACACAATCAAATAGTCCAGTGAGTGCTGGGCCCATATTCATGAAACTGTTTTGCATGCTCAAACTCAGAATCCAGGCTTATGCCGGATTCCTTGTTCCTGTGATAAATTAATAAAAAAAAAAAAAACATTTTGTAACTGATAGGGAGAATGTTGGAGAGAGTTCAAGCCAAATATTTTTTTCAATGCTTCCACTTGACTTTTGATGGTGTTATGTGATTTAAGCGAGTTACCAAAAAGTTGGCCTGGCCACAGAATTGAGCAGGAGTTGAGCAGGAGAATAGTTTAATGAATACGAGCCCTGGACTGACCAAAACACTTGCTTTTGTTTCAAATTCCTTAACCAGAAAGAATTACTATAGAATTAAGGGGAAATGTAAGTTAACAGAAATTTTCCTTAACTTTAGAACCCACCCGGGTTATGCACGAAAAGTTAAGTAGCGAAAAGGGGGGGGGGGGGGGCTTATTACCAGGCATTGGGTTGTCATTGGTAAAATAGTAGTGTTTTCCCGAGGAATACCTTTGGAATGATTTTGTTAACCTGGAGTTAGGGAGGTTGTAAACATCATACTTATCTTACATATTACAAACAGGTCCCTCATATTGTTGTTTGATTTAAATGTTTCTGTATAGTGAACACTTTTGTTACTTTTTGCTCCTTGTTGTTTGCCCTCTATCTGTGATACCTGTACTGGGAGCGCCCTGTCATCTGTTCTGTAATCATGTAGTGACTTATCTTTCATCCCTGAAGACACATTTGAACTCCTCTTATTCTAAGGTTGGAATAGTTCAATATGAAATTTCAGGGGTGAATGAGTTAATGACTGTAACATTATTCCTATCACAAAGTACACTACATTGGTGAATATCTGTATTTCTGATTTACAAATCGTAATCATGTTCAGTTGGGAAATCAACCGGAAATTATTATAATATTTTATATATACAATTATGGTAATTCAGATTATGGATTAAAGACTTGTCCTTAACCCTGTGAGATTTTGTGTACCAGTCACGCGAGTTATATGTTAACCATCAATTATTGATATCAATTACAATAGTTTAGAATTATAGGTGAATTCAAATACTTTGTAAACATCCCTTGATGAACCTTTAAAGAGGTGAAAGCTACTAAGAACTTACCATTTCATGAGTTTGGTACAAATGAAGCTAGTGATGGGCAATCGGTTTTAACTTATAATGGATAGTCGGTTGCAAAATCGGTTCATAATTTTATGGGACTGAATACCAAATAAAGTGAGAACACTACTGTTTCTTCAATCACAGATTTGTAAACTATACTTAAGGCTCGTTCTTGAACCCTTTCTCCTCTGTAGACCATAATGGACTCATCCAGATCAATGCATGGTAGAGACTACTAAAGTTGCACAGGGGTGAAAGGGTTAACAATGAATGGATTACAATTAACTTTTATGCAGTTTTGTTAATTATAACATCGTAAGAATAAATGACTCTTAATGCATATACTTGACATTGCATACATTCGACACTGATTTCAATAATGAACCGATTATATCGATAATGGATTTTTTGATCAATAATCGGAATCAGAAAGGGCAATCAATCCATTTTCAATTTTAATTGATCAACAGCCCATCACTAATGGAAACGAATAAAATGTTAGCAAACATGCATTTATCAATATATATATAATTGTTTGTTAAACAAGAATATTCACAGAAGAGTAGGGTTAAAATGAGTAAATGTTATACGATTACTGTGCTACTAGTTTTAGTATAGATTCCTTCCTGTATATATATATGTATAAATATGTACTGTAACATGTTATAGAAGTTTGTAGACCGTTTTAATTTATTCATTAGTAAAACATCTTTTGAGAAGAAATGTGTTGTTTTTGTTTTAATTTGATATCTGTCATGTACAGACTTGGCAATCTTTTAACATTTCTGACAAGGGGAGGTCATGTTATGCAAGCCCATGCAAAATTCTTTGTTATAAATATTAAATTTAAGGGTTTGAAATTGAAATGTTTCCCTCGAAAAAAGACAGATTTGGGAAGCATAAATGAAGACTAGGGCTGTCATTGATGAGAAAAAAATGTATCGATTTATTGATGGCAAATAATCTTGATATATGAACAGCTACCTATGAGTCTTGATTAGTGTCTATGGTTTAACGTTAATTCTAATTAATTGTGTATGTATCTAAATGAAATGCAATCTTTTCCATTTTTAAACTTCAACAATCTATATTTAAGTACATGAAATGTTCATACAACTATTGTCTTAATTGAAATATATTTCTGTACATATTTTTTAGCTCACCTAACCCATCAATCAACTTTTTCTTTCGAATAACTTCTTCTGAAGAACTGGTGGACCTAGGGTCATGATAGTTGGCCAGTAGATACCTGGGATGGAGTGCTATAAAATATCCTCATTAAAATGACCTTGACCTACTTTCAGGGTCACAGGGGCAAATATGTTAAAAGCAACAATATCCTAAGAACCATTAGGACTAAAGTCATGATACTTGGGTATGTTATGCAGACCAGCAGTGCAAATATTTTTCTGAATTACAGTAATGAGGTCAAAGGTCAACTTTAAGTTCTAGTTGGGGTCAAATGTCAACAAGCGTTAAAAGCTTTAACAATCTTCTTCTCAAGTTCCGTAAGTCCCAGGGTCATGATATTTGGCCATTAGGTACCTGGGAAGGAGTGCTATAGTTTCCTTATTAAAATCACATTGACCTAGTTTCAAAGTCACAGGGGCCAAATATGTTAAAAACTTCAAACAACGATACCCTAAGAAGCATTTGGTCTAGAGTCATGATACTTGGGTATGTTATGTAGACCAGCAGTGCGAATCTTTTTCTTAATTACAGTAATGAGGTCAAATGTCAACTATAAGTGCTAGCCAGAGTCAAAGGTCAACGTGGGTAAAAAGTTTTTAAATTAAAATTTGAAATGTCTGTACCTGGAAATCAATATTGTAATTAAAACTTTAACATGACAGGTACTTGTAAAATGATTTTTGGGTCACCTGAGACAAAGTCTTGAGTGACCTTTTCTAATCGCCTTTGGTCTGTCGTGCATCCGTAAACAATTTTCATTTTCAACTTCTTCTCAGAAACCACTGATCCAATTTCAATAACATTTTGCAGGAACCCTTCCTTGGTCAAATATGCACCAAAATTGTGAATTATATGGTTCCCAACCCCAGGGGCTCAGAGGCGGGGCTAAAAGTGGTCAAATTGGCTTAAATTTAAAAAAATCCTCTTCTCCAGACCCGGATATGCCGAAAACCCAATATTGTGAATTTCATGACCCTCAAACTTCACGTTTGCCAATGGGGATCCGGAGGGGGTGAAATTTACTAGAAAATACAACTTTTGGGTATATTTTGTTCATTTTCTACTGGAAATCATTCAAACTTGATTTACATTATAACCATGAGATGACAGTTTGATACTTTGACATTTTTAACCCTGTCTCATCCCCAGGGGCTGAGGGGCAGAGCCCAAATGGGGTCATATAGCCAGAAATTTCAACAGTCATTTTCTCCAGACTGAGATAGGCTGGAAGCCAATACTCGTCATAGATGGAAGGGTCTTGAGATGCTTTAACAAAATTGTGAATTGCATGAACCCCAGACTCCATGTTTGCCCGTGGGGATGGTGCGAAGTTCACTATACTTTATATAGGAAAATTATATTTGTGGGCATGTTTGGTTCATTTTCAATTGGAAATTATT